CAGAGTAGGCAAAGATTCCTTCTTCCAGTATTGACCTACTAACAGCCTTGCGGCTGTAATCAGATTCAACATCAATATAACCTCCTTAGCATCACAATCAGTAACAATGCCAAGCAAAAACAATTGTGGAGTAAATTTTACCCTCTTTCTAAAAATTCTCTGAATGTTCCACCATATCTTAATCCAAAAAGCTTTTATATTTTTACACGACCACCAAATATGATAATAAGTGGCATCCAGGCAGCCACACCTCCAACATTTAGACTGTAAGTCAGGATACATGAAGGACATCTTTTGTGGATCAAGGTGCCATCTGTAAAACATTTTATAAAAATTCTCCCTTAAATTCTGAGCTTGTGTAAACTTAACATTTCTCACCCAGATAGTTTCCCAGGTATCCAGTAGAACTGGTTCACCAAAATTCTGCGCCCATTTAATCATACAGTCTTTAATTAATTCTGATTCTGAATCCAATTCTACTAGCACCCCATAAATTATCTTAATATGAGTTTGTCTTTGATCCTTTACTTGCTTAAAAAGATTTTCATCTTCTCTAAGCAGGCCTAGATTACGGTCCATCTTCCATCTATCTACTAATTGTCTATATTGAAACCAAGAATAGGTAATATTTTCATGTGCTAGGTCTTCCAAAGATTTTAACTACCAATTTTGACCATCCCATCTAAGTAACTGTGTATAAGACACCGTATCCATTTTAACACCTCTCTTTATCCCCTCTATCGCATGCCAAGGTATAGCCCATAATGGTATTTTAAAATCACTTTTATAATATTTCCTCCAAACCCTAAGTAAAGAAATCCTTATAATATGAGATTTAAAGGCCCAGTCCACTTTTTATTAAATATTAAATAGGCATCCCAACCAAAAAGTAAATCCCATCCCTCCAAGTGAAGTATCTCTGAATTTGTTAAATTTACCCAATCACTAATTAATGTTAAGACCACAGAAGAAGATTCTTTGGGTTCTTTCTTCTGTTGTTCCTTTTCCTTGCGTCTGTGTGCTGCACGGGTCATCCTCTGCTCTTTAACCTCTGTTTGACATTGCCATTCCACTTGTGACTTCCCAGCAGAGATCAGACCTAATCCTTCAGATTGCTGTTCCACCTCTTTGCCGCCCAAAGATTTCTGGATCATAGATAAAGATGAGCCTGCTCCCAGGACCGCATTATAAAACTCTTTGGCTTTAGCAACCGTGTTAAGCCTATAACGCATCCCCGCATGGCTCAAAACAATACCCGTCGGAATCTCCCATCTGAATGACATCGATCTTGCTTTGAGTTCATTAGCTAGAAAAGCAAAGTCTTTCCTGTTTCTTAAGATTCTTGATGGAATTTCCTTTAAAATAATGACATCTTGGGCAGCAATCTGAAATCTCTTATTGTAATAAGCTTGTATAATTTCATTACGCAGAGGCCTCTTTGTAAAATAAATCACCACATCTCTTGGCAAATTCTTTTGTTTCGCAATCCAAGAATTAACTCTGTAAACTTTTTCCACTTCTCTGCGTAATTCATCTTTATCCATATTCAAAACAGGAGCTAGATCATTAAGCACCATCTCTGTCAAATCTTGATTCATATCTTCTTTCAAACCCCTGATTCTCAAAGCATGCTCCATTTCCCTGTACTGGGACATACAGCATTTCCCATTATATCTTTAATCTCTTGTGCAGATAAACCTGGCAAAGGAGGAGAAGGTGGAGGCAGTACTGATGGTGTAGCTTTAAGTTGTTGTTGTACAGTTAGAGTTGTAGGAGAGGAAACCACCTTAGAAAGTATAGAGGCCGGTTGCCTCTTTGAAGCCAATTTTCAAAGTATTATTCTCTCTCTCTTTCCTCTTAAAAGGAAAAAGGAAAAAGAAAAAAAAAGTACAAAAATTCTTAAAGTTTAAAAAAAAAAAGCCAAGAAAAGTGCCCAAAACACAATCAGAAAATAAAGGAGAGAGTTAAAAGCAATAAATGTATTCATTTAAGTCCATATTTTCTTTCCGGGAAAAAGAAAGTAAAGAACAAAAGAACAAAGTACTTTCGGAACGCCATCTTACTTTCACTCTCCGTGCCGACAAAAAAGAAACAAGGGAAAAGAATCAAAGTCAACTAGAAAAAAATTAAAATAAAATACTAAACTAAAAAAGAAATCCTTTAAACTGCTCTGTCCGCTTTAAAAATTACTCACCAGAACACCTTAAACGCGGAGATGGTAGTGGCGTTTCCTTTTGTCTCCGAAGAGACAAAAACAGCTGGGAGGCGGAGAGAGCAGGAACTCCGAGGGAACGCTCCTTCTGCCCCCTTAAAAGAAAAATCCAGAGGGGGCTAAGAGGTTCTACCTCTATTCTTGCAATCTCTATCCCTTCCCTTCGCCCGGGAAGGGGATTCCGAACCGCGGGCCAGCTGATGTTCGCTGCGCTCCGCAGATCTAACGCCGTCCCAGGAGGACGTTGCCAATTCTTATAATCTCTTATTTCAATAACCTTGGTTCACACACTAAGTCCAGTATCATTATGTCTAACTAAACTCTCATGCACATTCCTCCCCCCAGCATCATCTAACTCTATCGCTAATTCTAAAAGTAAAACATAAGAAGAAAATGGTTGCATCTCCATCTGTTGTCAAAGCAAAACATCCGATGTTAGCAGCGTTGACAAATCAATTGTTAATGATTTTTACGAATGTAACCCAGACAACAGTGTTGATTACCCCAGCACCACGGGGTGTCTTAAGCACTTTGTTCTAAGAATCAAAAAACCAATAAAATGTTTTTTTAAAAAAGAATTAATAATAATAATAGTAGTAAAGTTGGAAGGGACCTTGGAGGTCATGTAGTCCAACCCCCTGCTCAGGCAAGAAACCCTACACCATTTCGGACAAATGGTTGTCCAGTCTCTTCTTAAAAACTTCCAGTGTTGGAGCATTTACTGCTTCTGGAGGCAGGTTGTTCTACTGGTTAATTGTTCTCACTGTTAGGAAATTTCTCCTTAGTTCTAGGTTGCTTCTCTCCTTGATTAGTTTCCACCCGTTGCTTCTTGTCCTGCCTTCAGGCGCTTTGGAAAATAGCTTGATTCCCTCTTCTTTATGGCAGCCCCTTATTGGAATACTGCTATCATGTCCCCCCTTGTCCTTCTCTTCATTAGCAACCGTTCCTTATATGTTTTAGCCTCCAGTCCCCTAATCATCTTTGTTGCTCTTCTCTGTACTCTTTCTAGAGTCTCAACATCGTTTTTACATCGTGGTGACCAAAACTGGATGCAGGATTCCAAGTGTGGCCTTACCAAGGCATTAAAGAGTGGTATTAATACTTCACGTGATCTTGATTCTATCCCTCTGTTAATGCAGACTAGCACTGTGTTGGCCTTTTTGGCAGCTGCAGCACACTGCTGGCTCATATTTAAGTGATTGTCTACTAGGACTCCGAGGTCCCTCTCACAGTTACTACTATTGAGCATGGTGCCACCTATGCTGTACTTGTGCATTTGGTTTTTCTTGCCTAAATGTAGTGAATTGCAGTGATTTACTTAATAACGGTGGGAAGAAAGTTCACAAGATGGGGCAAAACTCACTAAACAATGGTCTTGCTTAGCAATGGAGATTTGGGACTCAATTTTGGTCATATGTCGAGGACTCTCTGTACTAAGAAGAACAAAGCAACTCCAGAGTTACCAGCACTAGCAAAAGCTACAAACAACCACAGCAACAAACATTTCTTTGGATTAGAGTATTTATTTACTGGGATGTATAGCCACATATATAAATAGGTAGGTCTGTTTTCTTAAATAATTGGGAAGTCAAAAGGCAGCCCGGCAATTTAATTTTTTTCTGTTCCACTAGGCTATTTTTCTTTTTAAAAAAGTCAACACGAGGAAGAAAAAATAGTTCAGCTATTGGATTTAAAAAAACACGGCAAATCGGTTGCTTTAAAACAGATGAAGCAATAAGACTGGATCTCTTGATTGCAAAACTAGGTCCCTACGGTGATAAACAGCCAGACAATTCATTCTTCACTGCAAAAGAAGCAGTAACCAATTAATTTTTTGGACAGCAGCAAAATCACACCAGTGGGGGCTGGGGGTAAAATGAAGACCCTGCACACCCTCTTTGATTAGATTATGAAAGATTTTTGCTGGCTTACCATTTCTTTTTTTTTTTTTTTAAGAATTCTGTAATTCTTTAAAAAGAACAGGTAGTTTGTCCAAAGGCCTGCATGCAGCTTGACTGGCTTACACGAGCCACCTCTTTATACCTCAGGAGGAGTGTCGTGTCCAGGATTATTTTTGCAAGAAGTTATAACGCATTGTGATTGTGGTTGAAATTATGAGTGTTCTCAGGTTGACAATGATTTATTGTCTGAGTATTGTTGCGTATTTTCACCCTAGGACATTCACATGTCAAAAGCCAGAGCTGTAAAGCCATCGAAACTCATCCAACTGTTAATGAAATTTACTCTGTTGTTTATCGCAAAGTTTTATTAGGTGTGTATGTATGTATGTATTTTCAGCAAAGGCTGAAGTTTTCTAAGGCAGAGCGAATTTCCTTCCTAATACAACGAGCTTTCTCTGCACCTGTGAATGTAGAATGCAACAGGGGGAAAAGAAATAAAGGCAACAAAAGGAAACTGCTCAATTAATTATTTAACTCTGCCATCAGATAATTAATAATTATTAAAACTAAAAGATTCATAAAACAAAATTCATAAAACCAGTTTATAGTCAATTAATTCAGTTTATTAATTTCATTTTGATTAAATAAATTCTTTAGTTACTTAAATAATTAAGATTAAATTAAATTTAGTTTAATAAAACTACCTTTAATTAAATTAAAATGAAAAATGAATTTAAATCTAAATCTTCTATATATCTTTTTTTGTGAAATGTTGTAAGGTGCGTAGACATTTGCATGCTCAGCTGATGGGGAACAACAGATAGAAAATATTGTCTAGATTCTTCTCCCCTCCCCCTCTAAAAAACAGATTTTTCATAAATACTTTCTTTTTTTTGCAAAAAAATAAAATAAAATAAGCCAGAGATTTCATAAGCTCCTTCTGTGGGTTGCCTCCATGTTTAAATTGCTTTTGGAAAGAGATAATCTTTCAGGTTTAAGATAATCCCTTAGGAATCACCCAACTTTCACTTTGTCCAATCTGTTAATTATTCCACTTTGTTGAGGAACTGAGAAGAACCTTACTATAAAATAAATAAAATGCATCCCTCTGTTGTGGCTGTGGCCTCTTCTCTTCCGCGATCCTAATAAATGTCTCAGCCTGCACACTTCTGAATGCTCGGCAATGTGCTGCTTAGCGGGGAGCCACGGAAAGCCAGAAAGAGATTGTGTGAAGGTGGCTTTGTTGTCTACACGGCCGTCACACCATACTTTGAAGAGAGGAGGACTCTTTTCCTTTCACGTTCGGCCACAAAATTTCTCAGCTTGGTGGTGGAGAAGGTCACCGTGGCTTGTTGGTGTTCGTCCAAGCCGGTCTCCTGCAGCCACGAAGACTGAAGACATTCTGTGGCTGTTGGTCTTCTCCTGGAAGGAAACAGAACATGGAGGTCGAAGCCCTATCAGAGAAGTCAAGTAGGGAAAACCATAATCGCTCTTGGTTTTTTTCAAAAAGGAGAAGGAAAAGGAGGAGGAGGAGAAGCTTTCAAGGTCTATGAGAAGAAAAAGCAGAGGTGAATCATCTAGAGAAGGTGCTCCATCCTAGACAGCTGGTGATGGGAGCAAAAGAGGGACTCTCTTTAATAGAATAACAGAATTGGAAGGGACCTTGGAGGTCATCTAGTCCAGGGCTTTTCAAACTTTTCACAGATTGTACCACTTTTAGAACATGACAATATTTGAGTACCACCAGTGTTTAGCAAGATGTCAAAAACTTGATGACTAAAAAAAGGGGGGAGGGGGGATTGCAGACATGGAGAGGGGAGAGAAAGCATAGAATGACAACCCGCTCGATCAGTAAGGGGAGGAGTAATGAGAGCGGTTTGAGTGCCAAACAACGGGAGGGAACGGATGTAAGGAGGACCGGGGTGGGGAATAAAGACATGATTGCTGAGGCATACCATACTCAAATAAGAGCTGTTGACACGACAAAGGAGGAGAGAGGTATACAATTGGGAAGGGATATTAACCCACAGTTAGTGGAACCCTATCCCCATCACAAGACACAAGAAAACATCAGATTGAATCCTCCCCCCGATACGGCAGGCGTTGGTATTATCGGAAGAGGATGGGATGTAAGGTTACTAATGCCTCCAAAGATCAATAGTGGAGGGATAGGGAAGGGCATCTGAAGAGAAGAACATAACGTTATAGACACATCTTGGTTATCAACTGGCCAATCAGGGCCAGTAACACGGTCTAGGAGCCATGCGCAAATGTTACTTGAACCTACTTAAACCACCTTTATTGTAATGGCCTTTTAGCCCTGACGATGCTGGGGAGTTCCCCCAGCGAAAGCTTGGCAACTTTTTAGTATAAGTATATTTTTAGTAAAGTATTCTTATTTTAACCCTCCCGGTGATCGTATTTTATTCTTTTATTCATAATTATGCCTGGGAGTCGCATATATATATATAATATATATATATATATATATATATATATATATAATATATATATATATATATATATATAGGTCTTTGGTTATTGTATTTTATTCTTTTATTCATAATTATGCCTGGGAGTCGCATATATATATATATATATATATATATATATATATATATATATATATATATATATATATATATATATATATATATATATATATATATATATAGGTCTTTGGTTATTCGGATTTTCTCCCACGCACGAAGCATGAAGCTGAAAACACCAGCCTGAAGATGACGAATGGGACTTCGTCGAAACACTGCCAAGACACTTCCAATTTTACACGGGAGAAAACCCGAACAACCAAAGACCTACATACAAACACCCGCGAAAACCTCAGAAAACAAATATATATATATATATATATATATATATATATATATATATATATATATATATATATATATATATATATATGCATATCTGCAACGTGGAAGAGGAACCCCTTGAGAAGCCCCCTTCTCACCATGGATTCAAGGAAAGCGTGCTTTGGAGAAAGTTGATGGCTCCCCCCGAAAGGCCGGCGTAACATTTGTTGAGTCGGATTTTGTCTCGTTTGACCAGCCTTCCGAAGTCACAGGCAGCCTCGGAGCTGATGGGATATTCGGCGCTCAGCCTGGAAAACAGGAGAGAAAGGAAGAATTATTCACTTGGTTGACAGAATGCCATATTTGTGGCTCGGAGTTCAAATGTGGGGGTCCTGGCTGGTCTCTGAGCTTGGTTGCTTTCTTGCAAACGTTTCATGATCCAACAATGTAACATCATCAATGGTAGAAAAGAGAGGAGGTAGCGGGGAGAAAGGGAAGGAGGAGGGGATAAGTGGAGGAGGAGGTAGAGGAGAAGAAGGAGAAGGGAGGAGAAGGAGGAAGAAAAGGAGGAGGAAGATTGTGAGGTCCTTGGTACATTCTGAGCTTTGTGGTTTTCTTGCAGACGTTTCATGACCCAACTAGATAATATAATCAGTTTAAGGGAGTGGGAGTTTTCTCCCTTTTTCTATAGAGTTGCTTCTCCTGTCAGTCTTGGTAGGATGTGGTTCTCCCCCCCCTTGGTAGAATATTGTTTTCTGCTTAATTGTTTCTTTAGTGTTAATCCCTGCTTATCTGGGTTTCTCTTTCTGTGGGGTCTTTGGTGCTCTCCGAGCCTGTTGGTTTTCTTGCAGAAAACTCAACTAGGTAACCTCATCAGTGTTAGAAGGGAGGGGGAGGGCAAGGACAAGGGGGAAGAGGAGGAGGAGGACAACAGTGGGGCCCTTCATGCACTCTGAGCTTGGTGGTTTTCTTGCAGACGTTTCATGACCCAACTAAGTAACCTCATCAGTGCTAGAAGGGAATGCTACAGTCCCTTCTCACACTGATGATGTTACCTAGCTGGGTTGTGAAACGTCTGCAAGAAAATGACCAGAGCTGAAGGAGTCCACCTCAATCCTGCCCTTCTCTGTCATCAGCCCAGGAAAACACCCAGAGACATCTTCCTGGGGTTGGCCTTGCATTCATCACTGACATATTCATTTTCAGTCCCGGTCAGCCTCCTATTTGACATGGGACATTCAACTAGAATCCTCTCCCCGGCTATCCTGAAGGGTAGGGGAAAGGGGAACCCTCTCAGGGGAAGATGGTAGTAAAAACCACAGCAGAGTTACAGCAGATGCAGACTTGGAGGGGAGGTAGGTGCCCCCATCATCCCAAAATCTCCAAAGGAGTCCATGATGATCCCCCCCCCCTGAATTGTAACAAAATTATGCAGTTTTTGTTAAGTTTATATTTTCTTCCTGGTTATCTCTATGGCCTTGAGTACTTTCTTATGCTAATCAGACTGTATTTGAACCTACTTTCAGCCAGAGTCGGCTGAAGGGGTGTATGTGTGTTCTTTTGTTGGAGGCTTGCCAGCAAACATGGGAGCATTTGGGGGAAATTTGGAGCAATAAAAGAACTGTTTGAATTGCTAGCTGACTGCATTGCTTTTGTGCTGTGCCCTGGGTCATCACAAGATGGGAAGGTCTATTCTCATTTTAGGCCTGAAAAGCAGCTGGGTGACTTTGTGCCAATCACCAGGAAGTAAAGAATTCTTGTCCCACCATAGACATGAAAGCCAGCTGGGTTACTTTGGGCCAATCACCAGGAGACAGTGAGTTCTAGTCCTGTGTTAGGTACAAAAGGCACTGGGTTACTTTGGGCCAATCACCAGGAGACAGTGAGTTCTCGTCCTGTGTTAGGTACAAAAGGCAGTGGGTTACTTTGAGCCAATCACCAGGAGACAGTGAGTTCTCGTCCTGTGTTAGGTACAAAAGGCACTGGGTTACTTTGGGCCAATCACCAGGAGACAATGAGTTCTCTTCCTGTGTTAGGTACAAAAGGCACTGGGTTACTTTGGGCCAATCACCAGGAGACAGTGAGTTCTCGTCCTGTGTTAGGTACAAAAGGCACTGGGTTACTTTGGGCCAATCACCAGGAGACAGTGAGTTCTAGTCCTGTGTTAGGTACAAAAGGCACTGGGTTACTTTGGGCCAATCACCAGGAGACAGTGAGTTCTAGTCCTGTGTTAGGTACAAAAGGCACTGGGTTACTTTGGGCCAATCACCAGGAGACAGTGAGTTCTAGTCCTGTGTTAGGTACAAAAGGCACTGGGTTACTTTGGGCCAATCACCAGGAGACAGTGAGTTCTAGTCCTGCCTTAGGCATGAAAGCTGGCTGGATGACTTTAAGCCAATCCCTCCCTCTCAGCCCAACCCACCTCACAGGATTATCGTGGGGGAAAATAAGAGGAGTGGGGTGTATTGGATATGTTCATCGCCTGGAGTTATTTGTAAAAATAATAAAGGTGGGATACAAATAATAAAATGAAATGAAACGAAATAAAATAAAGAAAAATAAAATAGAAAGTAAAAATAAATAAAACAAAAATAAAATGGGGCAGCAATCAGTCCCAGTTCCTGCCTCTGCCACCTTTTCAGAAACCATCACTGCGAAGACTTTGATAATATCTAATTGAAAGTCATGCCCATGAAGTTGCATTTCTCCAGATATTTCAAAAGCCATATTAGTAAGGAGAACAGAGGCAGGCTAATTACAGGCCAGGTTTCCTCCGCCTCTGCCCTCTTTTGCATAACGTTGTGGATCGGCTCTAATTACTCAATAGGTAGCCTCCTTTTCATTCAGGCACCTGTGATGGCACGTGTGGCATTCCCTAGTCCTATTTTTTCCCATTATAAAAGTGGCAGAGATCAATCCCAAGTCACCCAAGCAGGTTGAAGGGGAACTGGAACCTGCTAGTCCCCCATTCCTATTTCAAGACCTTCCCCACAAGAACGGGGAATGGCCCCAGGCCCTCTCAGAAGCTCCCTTGGCTGCGCAGGACAGAACCATGGTGTCCCCCCCCCCCTTAGTCCAGCATCTTCTCCACCACACCTGAGATTTGGGGAAAGAGGCTGGTTTGTAAATAAACAGCCTTGCAGGTTCTCTGTTCTAGGAAAGCTCAGAGAACACAGTTCGAGCAGATGTGCCTTTTACAGCTCCAGGCAGTCCTGCTGGACTGGGAACTCCAGTGGAAGGGGCCCACCTGAAAAATGAATGTATGTGTGTATGTGTTTGTGTTTGTGTGGGCGCGCCTTCCAGTTAGTTTCGGACTCCTGGACTAATCCCTGCAGTTTTCTGGGCAAGGGTTTTTTCAGAAGTGGTTTGCCATTACCAGTTTCCTAAGGATGAAAGAGAGTGGCTGGCTCAGGGTCACACAGTTGGTTTCATATTTGAGGTGGGCTAGAACTCTCCTGCTCCTGGTGATTGGCCCAAGGTCACCCAGCCTGCTTTCATGCCTAAGGCAGAACTGGAATTCCCTTTTTTCCTTGTGATTGGCCCAAAGCCACCAACTGGCTTTCACGTTTAAGGCAAGACTAGAACTCCCCATCGCCTGGTGATTGGTTCATCCAACTGGCTTCCATGGCCAAGACGTGACTTGAACCCACGGTTTCTAGCCTGGTTCCTTAACCACTAAGCCAAACTGGTTCTCTATGCCCACCTCTACTGTACATCTCATCCAATCATATGAGGATTTCTGTCCTCTGCAGAAGATTGGAGCAGAAAACTTCTACTTTGAAGGTTCTGTGATTCTGTCAACAGAAGCTGAGGTCAACTTACATGATGAAAGCCGTCACGCCAATCGCCCAAATATCTGTCTGAGGGACTGCTCCCTTCTCCGTTACCAGTTCTGAAGCTAAAAATACACATACGTGTTAGGAAAGTGTCCCACCATAATATCCAGATGCATTGGATTCAGAGACATTTGCAGAATTAAATTTAATAAAAAAAACCCCAGCAATAATCTGACCTATAAAATGGGGGCATAGTTTTGTTTGTTTGTGTATTACCCACATTTCTGAATTGCCCATCTACCTCAAAGAGGGTCTCTCTCTCTCCCTCTCCCTCCCTCCCTCTCCCTGCGTGTGTGTGTGTGTGTGTGTGTGTGTGTAAATGTGGGTTCCTTGCTGTTCTTGAGCTTGGTGGTTCTCTTGCAGACATTTCAATACCAAAGAAAGTAACATCATCACTCTCTATGAGTGGGTTCTCTGTTTATATTTGTTTGTTTTTGAGTGTTGTTTACTGTTTGATTGTTTCTCAGACAAACAATCAAATGGGTAAGGGACAGCCAAATCAGGAAACAACCAAGAACACATTAAACAACACTGTCAGGGCAAACCACTAATACAGAAAAAGAGAGGAAATCCCCCCTCCCATCTTTGGCACTGCTGATGTTCCCAACAGGGTTATGAAACATCTGCAAGAGAGCATCAAGGACCCCCACAGTTCAACCCTGCTGCACAAATATTCTCTTTTATATCTGTCTGTCTGTGTCTGTCTGTCTATCTATCCATCCATCAGCTATCTATCAGCTATCCATTCATCCATGCCTCCATCCACCCACCCACCCACCCACCCACCCACCCACCCACCTATCTATCTATCTATCTATCTATCTATCTATCTATCTATCTATCTATCTATCTATCTATCTATCCTCTCTCTCTAATCCAGTGGTTCTCCACCTGTGGGTCAGGACCCCATTTGGGGTCGAACGACCATTTCACGGGGCTCGCCAAACAACGCAGTCCGCCATTTTTTTCCCCTTTTCCTTAGCTGTGCTATTCCCTTTTATTCTATTGGCTTTTGAATAGAATAGACTCTCTTGAATAGGAGTCTAATTCCATTGGCTTTCAAAAGCCAATAGGAATTGTCCAGGCTGTCTCTGCCCTGCTGAGCCCGCCAAAAGTCCCATTCTGCAAAGGGTGCTGCACCAGTTGAGTAGTCCTCGACTTACGACTGTTTGAGTAGTCCTCGACTTACGACTGGTTGGGGGTCGCGGCATTAAAAAGGTTGAGAACCACTGCTAATCTAATCTATCTATGTAAATGTGTATGTATATGTATTTTATATAAATATGAAAAGAGTATATCTAATTGTTCCGTAGTTGAGCAGACAGTCTGAAGTAAAAAGCTTCAAGTTAAAACCTTGCCACTTTCAACTGGAGATCCAGACAACAGGAGATCTAGAGATCAGGAGATTTTACTCCTTAGTATCCATTTTCCCTTATCAAGATCAAGTGAAACGGAAAGATATTTGATTTTTCTGTATCCCTCTATTCGCGGTGCCAAATTCCTGCAGCTCAGATTTGCCGGTTCGCTCACCCATGGTTTCTACGTAATCCGTGCAACCATCCACAGTTAGGATTTGGTCGGGCGAGTAGAAGTGGGCGTTTCCAAAATCCAGAAGCTTCAACAGGTTGGGCTCAACAATCACCATGTTTTCAGACCGCAGATCCAGGTGTAGGATGTCCTGTTTGTGAAGATACTCGACAGCGCTGAGAATCTGCCACAGGTAGTCCCTGACCTGCACTTCTGAATAGGAAGTCCTGGGAAAGAGAAGACGATAAAAGCACAAAGGGGGTCACAGGTGCCCCAAAAGTTTGACTCGGCCGAGAGAGGCCAAGAAAATCAGCCTTAAGGGATAGGACCAGAGGCAGGCAGTCTTCGACTGTACGGTCATAATTGAGCCCAAAATTTCTGTTGCTAAGCGAGACATTTGTTAAGTGGGTTTTGCCCCGTTTTACAAACTATCTTGGCATAGTTGTTAAGTGAATCACTGCAGTTGTTAAGTTAGCCACCCGGTTGAATCTGGCTTCCCCCATTGACTTTGCTTATCAGAAGTTTGCAAAAGGGGATCAAATGATCCTGGGGCGCTGCGACCGTCATAAGTATGAGTCAGTTGCCAGCAATCTGAATTTTGACCACGTGACCATGGGGATGCTGCAACGGTTGTAAATGTGAAAACGGTCCTAAATCATTTTTTCAGTGCTGCTGTAACTTCAAACGGTCACTAAATGAAATGTCGTTATGTCGAGGACCGCCTGTAGTGCTGGATGGGATGCATGCAAAATCATCCCATCTTATTCAGAGCTATAGTGTGTAGAATCATCAGGAGACTGTTGGTCCTTGACTTACGACCACAATAGAGACCAGAATTGAGACTTGAGCGAAGTGAGTAATCATGGTCCCTATTGCAGTTGTAACAACCCTTTAAAGGAGTCGCACCTTATTTTACTACGTTTTTAGCCATGGTTGTTAAGTGAATCACTGCAGTTGTTAAGTGAATCACATGGTCGTTAAGTGAATCCAGCTTCCTCCATTAACTTTGCTTGTTCGAGCTAACTGTTAAAAGAGTCGCACCCTATTTTACTACCTTTTTAGCCATAGTTGATAAGTGAATCACTGCGGTTGTTAAGTGAATCACATGGTAGTTAAGTGAATCCGGCTCCCCCCCTCTCCATTAACTTTGCTGGTTCATGCCAACCACGAAGGTCGCAAGTGACAATTATGTGACCCCGGAAGGCTGCAGTTGCTGTAAACACATGCCGGGTTGCTAATTTTGATCAGGAATGTTGCAATGGTCATAAGTGCAAGGAACTAAGTCTAAGTCCCTTTTTTTTAAGCACCGTCATAACTTTGAAAGGTTGTTAAAAGAATGGTTGTAAATTGAGGACCGCCTGTAGTTGGCCAAATAGAGGAAATATCCCTACTTACCTTCCAGCTAAGGCATGAAGCAGCTCGGGCCCCACGCAGAGTTCGACAATCAGCACAAGGTGGCGTGGACTCACATAGGCGCCCTGCAGTTGCCCTATGTTGGCGTGGTGCAGCTTCCTTAGGATCTGGTATTCCTGTAGGATGGCGTCTTTCTCTTCCGGCTGATACGGGATGATTTTGGCAGCCAGTGGATTTCCGCTGAATTTTTCTCGGCATTGCTTGATGATGCTGAAGCGGCCTCTGATCCAGAGGGGGAAAAAAGACAACCAACATCATGGGTTTACTTTCAAAAATAAACTGGACAAACTTTTGATCGGGATGGAATAAGATCTCCTGCTCAGGCAAGGGGGTTGGACTAGATGACCCACAAGGTCCCTTCCAACCCTATGATTCTATGAGGTCTTCCATTTCTAAAATCCTAAAAAAAAATTGTGATTGAATGGGATCATTTCCTGGTGTTAAACTGGGATCAGTACCGCACGTGGAGAAAAAAGTGCTAAATCTAACCCCTCAACAGATTGTCCTTGACTTAAAACCATTCATTTAGTGACCGTTCAAAGTTACAACGGCACTGAAAAGAGTGACTCATGACTGTTTTTCACACTTGTGACCCTTGCAGCATCCCCAGGGTCACGTGATTAAAATTGACAACTGGCTCGTATTTACGACGGTCGCAATGTCCCTGGGTCACGTGATCCCCGTTTGCGACCTTCTTCCAAGAAAAGTCAATGGGGAAGCCAGATTCACTTAAGAACCATGTGACTAATTTAACAACTGCAATTATTCGCTTAACAACTCTAACAGGGAAGGTCGTAAGATAGAGCAAAATTCATTTAACAACTGTCTCGCTTAGGAACAGAGATTTTGGGCTCCGTTGTGGTTGCAGGTTGAGGACTATCTGTAATGTGTCAGCTAAACTGGGTACTGATATCTTCTTCCAGTTACATCAGTGGTTCTCAACCTTTTTAATGCTGTGACCCCCAACCAGTCGTAAGTCAAGGACTACTCAACCGGTCGTAAGTCGAGGACTACTCAACTGGTGCAGCACCGTTTGCAGAATGGGACTTTTGGCGGGCTCAGCAGGGCAGAGACAGCCTGGACAATTCCTATTGGCTTTTGAAAGCCAATAGAATTAGACTCTATTCAAGAGAGTTTATTCTATTGGCTTTCCAAAGCCAATAGAATAAAAGGGAGTAGCACAGCTAAGGAAAAGGGGAAAAAAATGGTGGGCTGCATTGTTTGGCGACCCCCATGAAATGGTCGTTCGACCCCAAATGGGGTCCCGACCCACAGGTGGAGAACACTGCTTTACATGGCTTGGAGCCAAGTTACCTGTGTGGCAGCCCAAAGGTGCTTTTTCAGTAGACAAGTGGACTTTCTTGTTTCTCCTTTGAAGACGTTTCGCTTCTCATCCAAAAAGCTTCTTCAGCTCTGACCAGATGATTGTTGGAAGGATTGATACTCTTTGCAGACAGAATATAAATCCTTCCATCCTCCACTATTCAGACAAAGCTGAAGAAGCTTCTTGGATGAGAAGCAAAACATCTTCAAAAAAAAAAAGAAGAAGAAGAATGTCCAGAGGCCTCCTGAAAAAAAAAAGTATCTTTGGGACAACCATGACCTGGATGACTGAGAACCTCCATGGACTTTCTGCCGGACAGCCATTTTCCAAAAATCTCTACCTGTTGAATTGGATCCGGCAAGTTGGCCACGCTGCAGTTGCTGTCAGTCAAAGAATGTCGCTGGTTGGGGACTGGAAGTCCTCGACTTATGACCACAATTAAGCCCAAACTTTCTGTTGCTCAGCCAGACAGTTGTTAAGTGAGTTTTGCTCCATTTTTACCAATTTTCTTGCCAAAGTTGTTACGTGAATGACTGCAGTTGCATGGTCATTAAGCGAATCTGGCTTCCCCATTGCTTGTCAGGAGGTCGCAAAAGGGGATCACATGATCCCAGGACACTGCAACCGTCGTAAATATGAGTGAGTAAGCAAGGGTCTGTGTTCAGTCCTCGAGTCAACGGCGAATGAATACAGCACATTCTGTAATTCCAACAGCCCTTTATTTGAAGTAGTTCTCTCTCCGTCACAGCTCTGAGGCTCGCAGGCCTCTCTGACTCCTTTTAATAGCGTCCCCGGGCAAAAAGGTAACATTTGGCGCGAAGCTGGTGCCAGCCAGTCTGGTCCCAGGCAGCTTGCAACTGCCCGGGACCATTGCAACATCCCGAGCCTGCTTTTGCAGGCTCAGGACACAACACCCCTTCCCCCCCGGATGAGACTTATCAACTATAGAGATAGTTATACGCGATCTCAACACGAGCGTAGTGTGCCAACCCCAAACCTGCACATCTATTGCAGCTGTGCAATAGCCACACCACAAATGGTACTGGGCTATTGTTCTGGAATTAACTACCCAACGCTCACACTCCCATTTTCCATAACAGTAGGCACCCTCTCACTTTCCTTGCTTGGACAGCAGGGTTACAAAGTCCTCATGATACTTGGGAGATCTTTTTACTCTCTGTGACCTCCTTAGATTCTGAGAACCCCCTACTTCTTCTTGTGCAGAGGATGAAGTGGAGTTGCCCCCTCTTTCAAACCCTGGTGGTCCCTGTGAACTGTGTCCCGTTGCCTGGCCTGCTTGCTTGCCCACCGGGCTCGTCAGACCAGGACTTTGCTCCCCCATGAACCTGGTTGACCTGCCTAACTGTAGGCTCTCGGGCCCTTCTTTATGCCTGCCAATGTTTGGCATTTCTGTAGAGCCCTCCAAGTCCACAATGGACTTATCAAGGGGATGCATCCCTTCACTCCCAAGCCCCGTAACAGGATTGTCTGGGGTTTCTGCAGTGCCCCAATACTCAGTTGCCCCCCAATCTATGCCAGAGGTGCCAGAATTGGGATTTGCCTCTCTGACCACCTCCCTGTGTGAAGACTTCCTTTTGGAAGCAGTAGCAAACTTGACTGGGCCAACTTGACTGTTTGTGTGCCAGTTCTCTTGCAATGTTTGGGTTATTTGGATGCTCCCGGTTATTCTCCCTGACTGGAGTACTGAATGGTAGTTGTGAATGATGAGTATGCCCTTGGGTGACTCCCTGGCTGGAGTAGGCACTGGTGCCTGTATGCTTTCTTGTTCCCTTGAATTCCTGTTTGGAACACTTGCGGAATCTTGGAACAGGCCGTCTTTGGCCTCTCCGTCTGGCCCCGGCTGCTGCCAACACCTTTCCCTTTGCCTATAATGGTCCCTCTCCCCCCCCCCCCGGAGAAAGCCCAGGAGTTGCAGAGGGTAAGTCTAGTCTTGTGCCCAGCTGATCGATATGCTGCCGAAGGACACGACCGTTGTCCAAAGAGACCTCATATGACAATGGATCAGTAACCTTGCATACTACGGCAGGAACCCACAAGTGACCGGGCCCGTAGTTCCGAGTCCATACTGGGGCACCCACTTGCAGACACCGCGGTGCCCTGGGTTGGGTGACCTTAGGAGGCAGTCTGTCCGGGTGCAACCTGTCAAGTTTGGTGATCAGTTTGCGCCCCCAACGGAGTTCAGCTGGGCTCTTCCCAGTGGAAGTTGAAGGTGTGGTGCGGTAAGCTAGAAGAAAGTCTGCCAACCTGTGGTGCCAGTCCCCGTAGGTCAGTTTCTTTAAAGCAGTGGTTCTCAACCTTTCTAATGCCGTGACCCCATAATACAATTCCCCATGTTGTGGTGACCCCCAAGTGGGTGTGGCCACCAATAAGAGGGAGTAGGACAGCTAGGGAAAAGGGAACAAAATGGCGGACAGCATGGTTTGGCGACCCCCGTGAAATGGTCATTCGACCCCAAATGGGGTCCCGACCCACAGGTTGAGAACCACTGCTTTAAAGCATCCTTGGTGATGCGGACCATCCGTTCAGCCATACCGTTGGTGGAAAGGTGGAAAGGTGCAGAGGTGGCATGATGAATCATGCTGGCCTCCAAGAAAGCTTGAAACTCAAAAGAAGTGAATTGAGGACCATTGTCAGACACCAGAACATCTGGGAGCCCATGTGCAGCAAAAATCCCTCTCAATACTTGAATGGTCTTGGCAGCAGTGGTGGAAGAGACAGGTACAACCTCAAGCCACTTTGAATAGCTGTCAACAAGGACCAAGAAGAATTGACCCTGAAAGGGCCCAGCGTAATCTACGTGCACCCTAGATCAAGGTGACCGTGTTTCCTCCCATCTATGTACAGGAGCCTGAGGCATTTCCGGGGGTGAGCGCTGACACAAGTGGCATCTGTTCACTTGAGCCTCTATCTCCCTGTCTAACCCTGGCCACCATAAATGGCTGCGCACAAGCGCCTTCATCCTGACAATGCCAGGATGGCCCTCATGAAGGGAAGCCAAGACCCTAGGCCTCATTGAGGTAGGAATAACAACTCTGCTGCCCCACAACAGACAACCCTGAAAAGTGGATAACTCATGCTTCTTAAGCCAGAAACTCTGAAACTCAGTACCTGGACAACTCTCTGGCCATCCAGACAAAACCCAGAACAATACACGAGTGAGTGTGAAGTCCGTGGCTGATTCAGCAGCCACATCCCTGGCATTTAAGGGCAACTCAGGCAACGCCTGAATGGAAAGAATGTTGATGGCAGGGGCAGGGGCAGCCTCTACCATTTGTAAAGGTAATCTACTAAGGCCATTAGCATGGCCCATTTCCTTGCCAGGTTTGTGAACCAAAGAAAAGTCATAGGCTGACAGAAAGATGGACCATCTCAGCATTCTGGGGGAGATGATATGGGGGGGTTTGTTTGTTCGTAGTAAACAACCCCAACAGAGGCTTATGGTCAGTGCAGACCGTGAAGTGTCTGCCATATACAAAATCATGGAATTTTTTAATATCAGCAACAATGGCCAAGGCTTCTCTATCTATCTGAGCGTAGTTTCGCTCAGCAGAAGACAAAGTTCTGGAGTAATATGCAACAGGAACCTGAGTTCCATCAGGTCTTAAATGGCTAAGTACAGCTCCCACCCCATAAGGGGAAGCATCACAAGCAATGCACACAGGAAGAGTTTCATTAAAATGTGCAAGCACATCATTTGATGTAAGTAAGGCCTTGACCTCATTGAAGCTTTCTTCATGTGCTTGTGACCACTGCCACACTGCCTCTTTGTCTAAGAGCCGATGAAGCGGCTCAGCTACATTAGTTTTGTTAGCTATGAATGCATTATAAAAGTTCAAGAGGCCCAGAAAAGCTTGTAATTCAGCTTTAGATTTAGGCC